TTTTCCAAAAGAGTCTAGATGGCCATCTGACAGCCATGCTGATTGTGTGAACTTAGGCAGATCACGAGAAGGGAGGGCAGGGAGGGTTGAATCGGTGCTGAGCTCTTGTGGCCCTTTCTTACACGCCCAGGGAAATGCTGATTGCCACTTTGGGTTCAGGAAGCAATTTTTCTCCAGGCCAGTTTGGCCGGGGATCCTGGAGCTTTTTTGCCATCTTCTGGGTGTGGAACAGGGGTCACTAGGTGTGTGTGTGGGGGAGGCATTTGTGGATTTCCTGCCTTGTGCAGGGGGTTAGACTAGATGACTCTGGAGATCCCTTCCAACTCTGTGATTCTGTGATTCTATAATTTGGCTGTTTGATGGCAGAGAGAGGGGGGGGAGAGAGAAATCATTTCTGCAGGACTGAAATGCCCCGCATTGACGTTTTAAAAACTGTACGTTTTGTAAAAATTTCCGCTGTGCATTTTTCCACTGGAGATCCCTTCCAACTCTGTGATTCTGTGATTCTATAATTTGGCTGTTTGATGGCAGAGAGAGGTGGGGGGAGAGAGAGAAATCATTTCTGCAGGACTGAAATGCCCCGCATTGACGTTTTAAAAACTGTACGTTTTGTAAAAATTTCCGCTGTGCGTTTTTCCTCATCAGGCGCAAACCCATTTTTTTTTCCTTCTTGCCCCCTCGTTTTCGGAATCCTCAGTTTCGGCGAGCTCTGGAAACTCGGGGTAAGAAGGAGAAAACTTCGGGCTTGCGCCTGGGGAGGAAAAAACTACTGCGGAAAATTTCACACAATGTGTAGTGTTAAAAACGTCAATGCGGGGAATTTCACGATTGCGGCCATGCTCAGAGAGAGAAGAAAGTGCAGCTAATGAGGCAGATTAATGAAAGGCCATTTCAGTCTGGTCCATTGTCTTTTATTTGGGAGATCTGAGGTTGCAGAAACTGCCTTCGCAGCAAAAAACAGAACTGGACGCTCTGCCCACGGGGTCTTGTTCCGACGGACACCTGTCTGCGCACTTCTTGGTGATCAGCCGCGTGGTATCATTCCCTAGGCGAGGGGAGGAAAAGAGAGAGAAAAGCACAAAGTTAAAACCCTCACTTCCAATCCAGGTTGCCAAGCGGCCTGGGGAAAATAAAAAGCGCTGTCCTTTTAAACAGAGGCTTATAAGGGGGTGTTATTTATCTGGCAATGCTATTCCCCTAATTGCCAGGGAAACCTTCAGAGCCATGCATTAAGTTCCTTTTAAGGGGACAGGACGTTTCTCTCCAGGCCGGCTGGCAACCCCGTTCCCGACAGAAAGGCTTCCGAGTGGCCCTGACCTTGCTGAGAGGGGGGACTGTGTGTCTCTGTATGCAAAGTGCCCAGAATGCAGCTGGGGGAGGGAGGTCCTTGTTGCACCCCTGCTGCCTAGTTAGTCTTTCCAGCTTTGGCTTGGAAGGCGTGGCTCTCTGCTTGGAATGCAGAAGGTCCCAGGTTCAATTCCCGGCATCTCCAGTTAAAAGGAGCAGGTAGCAGGACCATCTTGGAGGTCCCAGATTCAATCCTTGGCAGCATCTCCAGTTGAAAGGACCAGGCAGTAGGTGATGGGAAAGCCCTCAGCCAGAGACCCTGGAAAGCTACAGCCAGTCCGAGTAGACAACATAGACCCTGACGGACCAATGCTCTGACGCAGTATAAGCCACCTTTATGTGTACATATGTACAACGTTACGTGGTTAAATGTCTCCCACAATTCTTCTACCCCTTTAAGTCATTGTTACCGAAGAAGAAGAACAAGAAGAGGAGGAGGAGATCTGATTTATACCCCACCCTTCACTATCCAAAGGAGTCTCAGAGCAGCTTACAATCTCCCTCCTTTCCCTTCCCTTCCCCACATCAGACACCCTGCGAGATAGGTGGGGCTGAGAGAGCTCTTTCGAGACTGCTCCTGAGAGAACAGCTCTGGGAGAACTTGTGACTGACCCAAGGTCACACCAGCAACTGCATGTGGAGGAGGAGTAAGGAATCAAATCTAGTTCTCTCAGATTAGAGTCCACACTCCTAACCACTACACCAAACTTAGCTGTCTCCTTCTGGTCAGGGGCCAGAAATGAGAGATGTTCAATGGGATAGAGCAGGTCGAGAAAGAAGTCCTTTTCTCGTGGGCAGAGAAATTGCTGGGCAGTTGAGTTAGAA